AGCAACTTATAAAACCCAGTATCATGAAGATAAGATGAGCTTAAAAGGAATGAGTACAATTTAATTAGAAGTTCTGAGCTACCTGGAGTTTGTGGTTTGCATGGTGTGCAATTGATGTCACTGTGTTGGCCTTGAAACCTTAGAGTATCTCCTGGTGGTAGTGCCCCTTCAAGTTTGTAATGGTGCCCTCAGGCTCCCTCAATACAGTTTGGGAAGCATGGACTGTGTTTTCTAAAATATTTGATATAAGGATAATGGGTGATCTAAGCTATAAAAGCAGAATATGAATGAAATAGAGCATACTGAGGGCCTGGGATATGTTGCCACAGAAATGAAGAGGTAAAAATTATGATAAATGTTTTGTCTGTATGGAATGCACTTCCTTCCCCTCTTGACTTAGAAAATGCCTACCTGTCTCAGAATTCAGCTCAGCTGCTTTGGAGCAATCTCCCCTAATCAAGCCCAAGTTCACCACCTATTAAACAGCCTCAGAAAACTCATTTCACACTTATTACAGTTGCCATTATACATTTATTTGTAACACACTTCATTAATTCTTTTCCAGCAGAATGTTAAGTGCTAAGAGGATAGGATTGTCTGATGTTACAGTAATGACAGTATCTGGTAAAAGAGCAGAAACCTTGCTGAATGAATTGAATGAATGCATGCACTTGTGACTGGATAGAATAAGCATCCATTGTAGTTATTTTCCTTTATTCTAAAAGAGCTGCAATTTGTAAAAGCATTCCTAAAACTATTACTATACAATTTTAATCTTGTCTATACAAAGATCCTTTACTTAACTAAACTTGTAAAGTATTGACAATATAGATAAAATTATAATACAGAAATGATTTTGGACAATGAAAATCCTAAATTCAAACAGGAAATAAGGGTATGGAAGTAGGAGGAAATAAGACAGTTACAACTAAAAACTTTTAAAAGGGTGAACTTCTTAAAAAATCATCAAATATTGATTCAAAGGAGTTTTATATTACATAATCCTGAAATTATGTTTTGACATTCATTTTTTTACCCTTAAAGTTCCTGTGCAAGGAGGAAATTATTTGTTTATGTATGTTAAGTAGAATGGCTATAGATAAGAATACAGAGATGAAAGATAAGGTAAGGTAGAGATAGTTGACTATCCCTGGATTGGTAATCCATAAACAGCAAAACTCCCCTGTATGCAATTTTCTTTGGAAATTTACGCCATCTTTTATCTTAAATTGAAAGCTGGCTTTCCCTAAAGCTATCATTTTCCTAACAGTACTCTCAAGTGGGTTCCTAATTTTTCTCTCTTATCACACATTCAAGGTACAGAGTTAATATCCACCTAGTTACCTGTCACCACTTCCCAGATCACTTTAACTTTATACACTTGTAAACTTAAAATAGAACAAAAACCTCAGCTGTGCAGAGTTGTTGCTCTGTAGCTCATACTAGACTAACCTCCTCATCACCTCTTCATCATTCTGTGCAAAATTACTAGCTACCTGTATCTTACCAACCATTTTCCATTCCACCAACCTTGTAGAGCAGTGCTTCTCAAAATTTTCACTGCTTCTCAAAATGTGCTCTTAACTCACCTGGAAGATCGTGTTAAATTCAGATTCTAACTCAATAAGGACACAGAGACATTTTTTGCATTTTTCACAACTTTCATTTTTCACTGCATTTTTCACAACTTGTGGATTATTTTGAACAGTAAAGCACTAGAAGAAACTATTATGCTGTTATCTAATCTACTAAAGTCATAATTCCCCATTTCTGCTTTGGCACTCATTTCCTCCTACTTTGAATATTTTTAATAGCTATTGTTTCTTTACCACTCCTCATCTTACTTGCATGGCTAATGGGCTAATTGCAATCTCTCTCCTGTACACTTCCTCCCCCAACTGCTTAAGTATTGCCCATTTCAAGAAAACACACAAACTCCTGATTTAACTCTCCATTCCCCTAGCTATGTTCCTATGTGTCTCTCACAACTAAACTATTAAAAAAAAAGTCTGTTTGCTAATGTCATTTCTTCATCACCAGTTCAGCTCTGTATTCACTTTAATCTGATTAATATCTTCTTTATCACCTAAATGCAAATATTTTCTGAATGTATGCCTCCAGCTTATGTCTCCTTTGAGTTACAAACTAGCATATCCTATTGTCTACTTGACATCTTCTTTTAAATATCTCAAAGATGACTCAAACAGAGGAAATTCAAAGCTAAACGAACAATTTCTCCCGTACCACTACAAGCCATTATCACATGGCCAGTCACAGTCCTGAAAACTATTTTTATAGTTTTGACACATGTTGTTCCCTCACTGCCAAAAATATCCTCCATATTCCAAGAATTCTCAAGTATCTGTGAAATCTATTCACATTTCTCCATCTCCACTATCACTTCCACCCAAACTACCCCACCCAGCCAGTATCAATAATTGTCATCTCTTCACTGGCCTGTTACAAATGGTTTCCCAAGCAGTATTACTTCCATCCATGCCACTCTGCTCTTCTCTTCTTGATCTGTTCTGTGTCCTGCAGATATGGTGATATTTTGAAATAAAAATGTGTCCTCATTTGCTCATGCTGAAATTGTTTCAGTCACTCAGATCTGCCACACTCTTACCCATTAAGGATTGCTGTCCATCCTGATCCATTGACTTGGCATTCTCTCTCTCCTTTCTCCTGGGTAATCTTACTTTATCCCTTGCACCTCAACTCAATCATCATTTTGCCTCAATGACTAGGTCACATTTATGTACTAGAAAATTATGCAGAATCATGTACTTCTCCATTAAAATACTCAGAGTGCATTTCTGTTTTTGTTCACTATAGTCTTCCCAGCCTAGTTTCTGGTACAAAAACTATGATTTGCATAATTTCTGGCACATAGGACTCACAAAATATGTATTGATTTAATTAATGTGTGCTAATATCAGTGAAAGAATCCTTAATGACATAGCATTTGAGCTGGACACACACTTTCTTTTATTATTGAATATGGTGGAGGAAGATGAGTTAGGGCCATTGCAATGAACAAAATTTAGTAGTACTTACTGGACTATTTAGGCAGAAGTGGTATGGAATAAGTGAATATGACTCATGTTAACCTGGGGGATGGAATAGCCAACAGAGCAAAATTTCAGCTAAAGGAGATTTTGCTTTCTATTTATTGAAGCACTGAATTTGACAACAAACTCACAGGTAGAAACAATTTGAAAGCTTTTTAAAATCTAGGATGGCTGTTGTGATGAGATGTCATCTAGACATTCTTATCTGGATGCCTTTCTGATGACAGACATTTCCTTTCTGTGTTTACTATTTTGATTAATAGCATAGGAAAGGTCTGAAATCTTAGAGTCATTTGAGATTGCTCTCTCTCCCTCATTAAAATTTTCTATTATCTACATTTTCTCTCTCATCTCCACCTTCACTGTCACTTCCCTGGACTTTAACATGGACTGTTTCAACAACCTATTTTCCTTGCATCCACTTTCCATCTACTTTGTTCATATCTGATTATTGACTTTATTTTTTTTATTTTAAAAATTTTTATTTTATATATTTTTACATCTTTTTCATTTTTGTACAATGTAAGCATTTTCATCTTGGTTATAGTCCCCATACAATGCCACCCCACCCCACCCCCGCCCCGTTTTGATCTTACACCCTCCTCCCCTCTTCCCTCCTCCTCCCCCCAGTGTGTGTCTAGTTTATAGTTGCTTGTTGATTTTGGTTTTTACTTTATTATAATTAGTCTTTTTCCTGATCCCTTATTTAGGGTTTCTAAATTCCTGCTATAAGTGAGACCATCCGGTATTTTTCTTTTTCTTTCTGGCTTTTAAAAGGCTTCTAGCACCTACAGAGTAAAAATCTAGATTCTTTATCAAGGCTTCATGATTTGATCCTAGAATAACTGAACTTCATTTCCAGCTCCTCTCTCCAACCTCACCAGAGTGCTTCGTTCCTTTCTTACAACCCTAGGGAAACGTGATGGAATAACAAAGTTATTCGGGTGGGGTAAAGACATTATGTCTAGTATGGAGGCCCCCCCAAAAAACCCCAAAATCCTTTCTAGCCTTCCTGTTTCAGCTCAAATGTGGCTTCCTGATGCACTAGGGAAATTCGGAGCGCCACCGTTTCTCTGCCAGCTCATAGTAATTTTTAGCAAAAAGTTAGCTGAGTCACTGTCTCTCATATAGAGGATGTTACGTTCTCTACTTGGCATATCTGTCCTTGAGACAGTAGAACTTCACGAGCTTGGCTCCACGTAACGTTGTCACACCTCTTTCCCAGGCAGGGGATGCGTCCAGAACCTTTTCGACCTCACGAAAGTGGCTACTGGGTGACGTGGGCACGTATTGCGTCATCACGTGCCGCGAGGGTGGGGCCCCTCGGGGAGCGGGAAGAGAGGCGGGGCTAAGGTGGGCGGGGCGGGGCTACGAGGGCGGGGCGGGGCTGCTGCGGGGTCTGGGCCGCTTCTGCAATTCAGCCGGCGCCGCGCGGGAGGCGGCGGGGGCCGTCCGCTGATCGGTTGCCCCAGAGAGCGTGTGTCGGGGACCTTCGGCTCAGACCTGCGGCGGCCGCGTAGGCGAGAGGAAGCGGGTGGCACCGAGGAGGAGGACTGGCGTCGGCGCCCGAGCCCCGCTGGCGGGAAGCACCCAGCACCGGGAAGCCCCGAGAGCTACGTTCGCGGCGCCTCCCTTACCCAAGGGGCCGCGGCGACGGTCCCGGGGCGCGGCGCCGCCGCCCACGACCCGGGCCGGGATTCCAAACAGGCAGCGCAGACTCCTCCTCCGCCCGGCTGCCTCACCTGTGGGCAGCGCCGCGCCGCCTCCCTGGGCTTAGACGGCACCTGCGCCGCGGGGCTCGCGGGTCTCCGCCCCTCGTTCCCCGGCGGGCCGGGCCTGGGCGGCGCACCTGGACGCGCGGGGCTGCAGAGCGGAGGCTGGTGGGGGCGCGGTGTGCTCGCCCAAGCCCCGGGAGAAGGCAGGTGCAAGGGGCGCGGCTTCGCGGATCCCCGCGGCCGCCAGGTCTTGGGGACCCGGTCACCCGCGCCCGAGAGGAGCCGCCGCAGCCCGGGCACCATGAACAGCAGCAGCGCCAACATCACCTACGCCAGTCGCAAGCGGCGGAAGCCAGTGCAGAAAACGTGAGTGTCCCGGCGATTCCGCGCGGGGACTGGGCAGTCAGGCACGCGGGTGCGAGGGGGGGGCGCCCCTCCCCACCCCAAATCCCCGCGGTCGCGGGAGTAGGTCCCTTGGAGTCAGTCGGGGGAATCGAGATTTGGAGGCTCGGGTAGAGATTGACTTCCTGCATTTCCCCGTTTTTAATTATTGCATTTTAAACAGTCACTCCGCCCCCTCCCAGCATACAAAGCACCCCCGGGTGCCCCCCACAGATTTGCAGCTCTGTTTTCTGTTTCTGTGGTCCTAGTTTGTTGACAGCTCTGGTCTGCCCCGCGGGGCTGTTGGATTACTTAACCTAAACCCTCCTTGAAGTCCCGTCCACTTTTAATATCCTCATCGGTTAGGTTAGAGGCCGGTCTCATTCCTAGGGGGGTGCTTCATAGAGGGAGGTGTTTTGAAGAGCTAAACACGTGCCGAATGCTAGAAAGGTGCTGGGTGCCTCTGAAGGTGTCATCTTGCTCCGATGCAACAGACTTTTGCTGCCCTCTTAACTTATTTGGTAGTAATTTTGTAACCCTCAACGTGGGTCATATCTGCAAAGTGTGTAAAAATGATAGCAGGTATGAATATAGTGGACCGGATACAGTGGGAGTTTTGTAATATCAGCAACCTTTTGGGGAAGCTTTCTTATCAATTTGGGGGTGATTTTAGAGTTTGTAAAGTAGGAGATCTGGAACTAGAATTATTTAAACAGACGTTTTCTTTCTGTCGTTCTTTCTCTAATTTTCTTTCTCTCCCCTACAAAGTTTTGGAGTTGTAAGAGCGTGATTACAGATTTATACTTGTTTGTTTTGGTGGAATATTTGGTGAGGTTACATGACAATACTTTAAATTTTTTAAATCCGTGCTTCAGACAGTTCTGTTTCTGCGAGTTCGCTGTATTCACATGTTAATTCGTCTTCATTAACTCTGAGTTATGTTTTTCAAATTTTAATAAGCAATTCAGATTTAAAAAAAAAAACACTCTGCAAATCAGAAGTGTGTATTTTGCTTAAATCTTGTTATTCACTACCTAGAACCAGAGGAATAGCAGCTTGAGATGTAGGCTAAATACCAGTTATTGCTTTAAAAGTTTCATTATTTTGGAGATTTCATTTTCTTTTAGAATTTCCATGACCTTAGTTCTTTAGATCTGAATTTGTTATTAACAAGATAATTATTTCAATTAGATTGATTAAAATTTGAAAGTCTTAACTTTGTAGTGTGACTGACACAAGAAATACTGCTGAGTCAGCAATTGTGTCTGGACATTTTTGTGGTTTACATTATTTTGCATTTTGTAGAGTTGTTTTTTATATAAAAATGTATTTGTCTAATTTAACTTTGTCATTGATAGTTAACTGTGAGACATCCTAAATGTGTCTTCTGTGTATTATTATTACAGTAGTACATTTAACAATAAAAAAAGGTATCATGGGTTTTATGTGGATGGTCAGGAACTTGGAGATCTCCTTGAGAAATTTTTAAGTTTTGCATTATAATCAATGTTTTACAAAATTTCAGAGATGAGATGGTTTTTTAGAAGAAAATCAATCATGAGGTTTAACATTGTTAGCTTCTAGCTAGCATTTGTTAAAGATTTCCCTTTTAAATATATTTTTATCTATGTAAGATCTACTTTTTATTATGTTACCTCAATACTTTTGTATATTTCATGAGACTAACATAGTTGTAAATAATATCTCCTAATACAATATAACAAATATTTTCCTCATTTATTTAGCTGCATTGGTGGTCATCAGCTCTTTATTGAGCACGTGCATTGCTTCTAATCATATAAATGCCTTAAAATGTCAACATCACTACATAAGGAAAGCCTAATGTTGGTATTTACAGAATCATGTGAAATTATTTGTCAGTTACTTTTACCTGAATAAAAATTGGTTAACTTTACATTGCAGTTAAATGTGATTTTAAGAATGTGGTTGTTAAACATAATACTAGGTTTAATATGAGTTTCCTAGTTACTAGTTTGTACCTAATGGGACTTAAAATATGCCAGCATTGTCAGAAGAAATACATAGTGCTTAAGCTGAAAATGCTATTGAGATTCTTTCACTTTTGATCCTTAAATGATATCCATTTTATTTTACTCAAAGGGAAAATATGTTGTAGTATAATTAGAGACTTGTTAATAAAATGGCCACTTAAATATACAGTTCCATAAAATTTTGCAATTAAGTTGGTGACATAATTCTAATGTGAAGATCTTAAGTGAATCTTCCATTGAATTTATTAAATAAGATAAACTCCCTCTAGTGGCAAGTCAAGCATTGAAAATTATTTTTTAGCAGGAAATGCATCTGAAATGTGTTAAATTAATCCCACCAGAATCTTGTCCATAGTAGATGATCAGCAAATGTTTCTTTGGGAATAATAAAATCTAGAAATTAAAGAATCTGAAACAACTTAGCCTTTGATAGATGTTTCTGTGTTCAAGAAGAAATCTTCAGTGATAACATTAGGAATAAATTCTATAAATTTCCCTAATATGTTGCCCCATACTTAATAACTCTGCTAAAAACAATGAAAACGAGAATACATTTTTTTATTTAGAACCTTTTATTATTTTAGTTTCTTTGGAAATGAAAGTATTTTTGTTCGTTTCGTCGTGCTGTCTTAAGCACACCATTAAATTATATATAACCTGTTGTTTCTCTAGTGACTATAACTTTGGTTGTATTTTTGTATTTTGAAGTTTTAGTAATACAGATCAAGTTCTTCTGGTATTTCAGTTTACTGTAGTTCAAGAAAGCACTGAATACTGGCAAATAATAGGTTTGAGTAAAGGACATGTACACTTGAAAATGGTATGAACAGTAGTGGTGATCACTGCAATCAGCGTCTGAGCATCAGCTGCTCCTTTTGACTTTTATTACCATACTAGTATGTTAATGTAAAACAACAAGCATTGCTTCTTGCTGTGTCTACCGCATTACTACTTGTTCTTGTTAAACTTCATGAACTTTCATAGAATAAAATTTAGTAGAATAAAATTATGTAGTGTTTTACTGAAAATCTATCACATAAATGTAATAAGATACTATTTTTAAACTAGCTTTTAATATAGAAGGATAGAACATTTTAGTTACATAATTGTTTCTCACCAGAGGCCTTTGTATATTGGAACTATGAAATTAGTAAGAGAAACTGTTATTAGTAACATTTATTTTTAAAAAGTCACTGGCAAAAGAGGAAAGTGTGAGATAAAAATTGAAACAGTAGTAGGTCTAAACCAAAAGGTAAGGTTTAATTTCCTTGCTTTTCTACATCAGGGAAGGTGATTGACCAATAAAGCAAGACAGTCAACGCATGCACTGCCACATGCACTGCTAATTTCACAACTGAAATTAGCAGACCAAAAGCATTGTATCAGCTGGAAAGACTGCTAGTATATAAAAGAAATTAACACAAATCTATTCTTTAAGTAATTTTAGCTGACATTATTACAGAACAATAAATTCTCCTGTGAAACAGTGAGAGGCAGTATATGATTACATTCTCTGTGGATATGGCAGAACTGTGCCTCTTCTCTGGAGAATAAGCTTGTATAGTACTTGCTAATTGAATTATAAATAAGGCAGTTACTTGAAAATAAGTGCCATGCAAATCTTTTAACAACAGTACTTTCTAATTGCCAAACTTCATTCAAAATAGAGTATTTTTATATAGTCATTTTACATGACAAAAACTTTTTATAAACTTCCCTTGATACAGGTGTGCATAGTGTTTTACCTATATCATTTTATGAGTACTATGCAAATGTATAATTTTAGTTTTCTACATAAACCTTGAGATTCAAATTAAAAGATGTCCAGTAGTAAATGACAGAACTGAATTTGAATATTGGATCGTTGTCTCTAAAGCTTTTTCACCATAACTGTGGTACAGCCATATCCTAAGGATTTCTTTTTTGTTCACTGTTACTTCTCTAGTAGTTAAGGTTCTGAATAAATTATGTATGGTTTGTCATACATGATTTGTACTTGCTTACCTCCCTCCTTGCACCCATGCTGTTTCCTCTTAGAATCTTATTGATTTATTGTCTATCACGACTCCTTTAAAATATCATTTGTAATAGCTGCATAGTACTCAGTTGTGTTACTGTTCCATAATTTAATTTTTTTTCTTTGGGGGGGTTATTTCCAAACTTTTAATATTCTAACTAGTATTTCCAAGTACTTTGAGATATGGTAATTTCTCTCCAAGTTCTTAGTTGTTTTCTTAGGGAAAATTATGTGAGTGGGATTTTGGGATACAAAGGTGTCTGCATTTTGAAATTTTATTGTACAATAAATTTACATTCCTATTGGTTTTTTGCTTAACAACATTGTCAATTTAATCGGCAAAACAGGTGAGAGGTAGTGGAATTTATATGCCGAGATTGTGGGTTTTTAGTAGGACCTGTAATAGTCAGAAGTAGAAGTAATAGTTTGTGAGTGTTCACAGATTTTTCTCCTTGAGGTTGATTTGCATATAATTTGCTTTGTCATATATTTTTTTCTGTCATTTTAAATTTGTTCCTTTACCTTTTTTTGATTGAAATATTGTCTTGAAAAGTAGCCTGTTAAATAACACATGCACAATAAAAAAGTCCATAATATGTGTATATAATGCTATCTGAAGTTTAGCATGTTTGACTGTTGATGTTTTGTTGTGATCGTTACAGTTACTAGCACTGTCTCATCTGTCCACTTCAGTCTCCCAATCTAATTTCATTACAATATTGTATTTAGTTCACTTTTGGCATTGCATTATTTTTTTTCTCAAAATATTATTTACTCCTCCGCTATGTAATTATGCTATGATTATGTTTTCTTTCCTGTTCTATTGGTCATTGATTTCTTTCTTACCTATTTTTTATCTTCAGATCATTTGTGTCTTGGTTCAGACTTCTCTTGTTTTCCTTGTTCGGCCTGGTTTTTTTGGAAGAAGGGGTAGTTGCAGTATGCTACCGTATCAA